CTTCAAAAAACACACAGTTGAATTTAATGTACACACGGCCACACATCAATCTATACAAAACCAGTTTATCCTGGTGTCGCGTCGCATCGTCTTTCCGCACATTTAACGTTCAGTTTATACTGGTTATGTACCTAAAGCTCGATGTGTAGCCGTGTGACCGTATCTTATTCTTTACATACAAAATCTGTCACAGATTGTGATTGTATGTAACTTTGTTCTATACTTTAGAGCAGTGTTTTTCAAACTGTGGGTCGCGACCCCTAGGGGGGTCGCGAAGCCTTACTGGGGGGGTCGCCGACTGAAAGAAAAACGTCTCCACCGAGTCCGCGGACCCGCCGGTCAGACAGGCCCCATATGATCCACGTTGGGCGCTGAGTCAGCTGGACCGGGAGGTTTTCCTGGAAGCCGCAATTGTGCAGGCCTGGGTGATACCACCGGTCGGACGGTACTCAACGAGTTATATCGCGCGTAGCTTTAACAACTTACCTCGTACTTACTTTCAATACTCTCGCAGCTTCTTGCAGAGTAGACCTGAATAATTGATAAAGGTACCAAAATAGTAGAAAAAAAATCATTAACGTATGTAGGTAGTCTAAATTAAATTTTATTAGTTCTTAGTCTTTCTATGACACAAGGGGGTCGCCAGATTTTCTTAACTTGTAAAGGGGTCGCGAAATCAGAAAGATTGAAAAACACTGCTTTAGAGCAAAGGGTGCCTACAACCGTATAAACCTGTAGCCTGTAACCTGTAGCCCGTTTAAAAAAATATAATGTGTCTGAAATAGTATTTGGTAGTTCTGATTTATGTTTGTTAATATTGATTTTAATATCATAAATGCTATTATTTTTGCACAAACGTTCTATTAAACGGATACACCCACGCCGTGCAAAGCATGTTTGTAAAAAGTTACATTTAGTTTCTGTAAATATAGCATTATTTTGCTAAGATTTTAATACAATCTCTAAAAATCACGACATTTTTTGCGCACAAGAAAGACTTGTAAAAAGCGAATTAATTGCATGCCTCGACGGTCGTCACGCGGCGATAGGCAATGATTCTTATCAGGACCCTTATTGAAAAAGGGGCGGCCGCGTTCCTATCACGCATAAATCAGGAGCACGCGTATTTCTTTCAGCTAATGTTGGCTCTTTTATTGCCCACTTATTGGTAACTACGATCTGATATATTACACCGATAGAATTAACGGTCTAATACAACTATTATTGATTTACACGACTGTTTATAACCCGCGTAGGTAGGCGTCTGTTGCGCATATAACTCTATGGACCATATTGAGAGCGGATGAAAGTTCGAGTCCCTGAATTCATAATATTGTATTTTATTTTCGTATCGATTGTTTGCATAAAGTGTAAAGTGATTTATCATAATTACAAAATATCATAACAGTCGATAACGTAGCGTAGCCATTAGTTTAAAAACTCAGTTTAATCTCGATAACCGTTGTTAACTTTACCTTACGCGTTGAAACACATATGCTTCCATAACTGTAATCTGTTAAAAATATCATGCGTAAAATATCTGTCTATAATGTATGAAGGATCAAAACTAACCTCTATCTGCGTTAACAAAAATGTCAGTATAATAGGAACAAAGAGGCACACAAGATCTTACAAGTTAGCTACGCTGATATTATTTTAAGCCAAAATTCTAGAACAGGCAGAAGTGTTCCATAAATACAAGTACAATTAGGCGGAATGCGCCGTATGTATCATTTCATAACGTTTACAGTGGTTCTGTTTATCGCCTACTGTTCCGGCCATACTATTCTTTTCCCAGTGTTTACACGTAGCGGCAATAGAATAGATAGCTGCAAGTAACGAGGACCAACTGCTCGCTAAGTAGGTGGCGGCGCTCGTAGGGTGCGACCACACTGCGGTTCTTACAAACACCCAATAAACGAGGTTAACTCGTTAAAGAACATTGTTATTACCTTTTTTTGGTCTTACGCTAAAGGACGGAGGGTTGCTGATAATGCGATATGAAACTCAAGTATTTTTACAAGTAATGATTATGTTTTAACTTCTCCTGTGAATGACTTTTACGTTTTGCTTCTACTCACAATAGCAATGTGAAAATGTCTTTACAAATATACGTAAACATTTCACAATAATAGAAGACGTAGACGGTACTATTAATCTAGGTGTGTTAAATGGGTATCTAATGTACCTAATGTATGCTGTTGTCTCAGTTGAAGCTGAACAACCTTTTTATTCAATTTGAATAAGCCCCTTCGTTGTCCAAACTGACGTGATATCACTGTCCTGTCTCAAGGATGTTATAGTTGGGGGAAGTGTTGCGTAACCTACGTTACACTGATGCAGGGCATCAGGATAATCAGTTAAATAGGTATACGTATGGAGATTACTTCTGAGTTATTGGAGATTGCTCAAAAGAGTCATATATTTTTCATTAATTGAAACAAGTGGATTAAAGTTATGAAATTAGTCACGAATAAGAAAATAAGAAATTGACATGATAAAATATTATTCTACGTCATTTAAATAGTTAAACAAAATGCCGCCACTATAAATGACATCTTAAGAAGAGTCCAAAACATTACTCTAAACAATATCTACCCGTCTTCCGATGATAGCTGCGTCTATAGGACTTAGGTCCGAGGCTGCAAGTGGCGAGGTACAGTGCGTGTTTACAATAGACATCAGTAGAGCCGGTAGCGGTGTGACCACCCTCAGTACAAAGCAATACCCACTGTTTATTCACCGATTGATTACAGCGACAACACTTAAGCCATTACGCCGCTCTACTAATTGGAGACTCAAACGGCCTGATATTGAGATCTCACCTATATATGTCACTGTTAATCAGACGGGTCGCTGATTGGATCGGCTTGTCAATGATAATTGTACATTAGACCTATAATTAATTCTTTGACACGCTAATTATGTCGCAGCCCAGTATATTGTCATACTTGTCCACACTCTCATCGTCGGGTAGGATTGGTTAATTTCTTACTCCACTATGTTATTATTAACTTGAGAAAGTAGAATTCGATAGCCTGTTATGCTTTGTTTTTCAAAGGGCTAATATTATTAACATACAAAGGGCTTGCGCGTAGTATGATTTGGGTTTTGTCGCTATTGTAACTTTAAATATTGAAAGAATAAAAAACCAGTTACTTCAAAAGGCTGGGACTGATAGCGTTTGGTGACTGTTTACTTGTATTGAGAATATTAGAGTGACACTCATGACAAACAACGTGATGGGGATCTCGTTATAGGAGACGATAATTATATTTATTTAACAATTAATCTTCTTAGTTGCCTATTCCAATTGTGTAAACGGTGTGCTTGAACTCATAAGCTTCGCCGTACTACCTAAACAATGTAAAAAACAATGTTTCTCTGTATTATATTTATGGTATGTACATACTTACATGTTACGAATACTAAGTAGCATAGCTCTGGACAAACGTTCAGAAGGCTGCTGTTGACATGTGAGCAGCGGGTGCACCTGTAATACGGAATTAATGGAAAATACTTCAACAATCACATCTATCTGTCTGGCAGCTCGTGTTCGAATGTGACACAAAGGCAAGTTATGCGAGGTCTCATAACTGCGGCTATTTGTTGCTACGTAATAGGACGCGCCAAAGGGATACCACACACTTTGTCCGAAAACTGTGATATTGAACTATTGCGTGAAACGGATGACAACATTATTGAAAGCTAAACACAAACACGACCACGCTTGCAAACACTCCATCCCGGAATCGTCTACCAATTATTTATTGATTTGAAGTTAGCTTTTGTCAATCAGTTTCAATTTCGTGTTTGACTGTTATGATCTATATCGATATACCTATGCATTGCATATGCCTCAGGTAACTACTACTAGTTACCTAAAGAGTAAACAATATAGAAGAGTTATAACTTTCGTGGGACATACTAAATAAATTATTATGTTTTCGGGTTACTCACGTAATTATTTGACGAGTACTCAAATAGCAGTATAGCAGTACTCAGTAGCAGCGCGACAGTCGCCGCGTCACAGGTCGCGAAATGCTGCTCATGAATATGAGCCTCTAGCATGGCTTGAAACTAGTCGACTGCCTCATCAAATAATAACGTGAGTAAGCCGAAGACCGCATCATCGCTTACCACCAGGCGAGATAGTGGTCAAACGTCGACCCATCAAATATATGTATATATATAAGCCGAAAACATAATAATTGAATATTGAAGAGCAACTGATGCTATATTACGTACTTACTTACTACTTATATTTCTTTTTACCTGCCATTAAAAACCTATCTAAACATTGATTGTGTAGAATGTGTCTAATAATTATATACTAAAAGCAAAAGAATGTTTAGGAAGTCACAATTTAATAGTTTTTCATACGATAAGGGATATCATTTCTGACGGCAGCAATGAGATGACGAGTGATGTTTATTTGTTCGCGTTGTCCTCCCGATGATCGCCGTGGCGGCGTGCGCACGCGACGCAATATGTACGCTTTCAAAATAAACACCTTGTCTATTCGTGTGTAGTTAAGTGCCTGTAACTCTGCTTTTTTGTTTGTTTCCCCGAAACCGTTACGATGACCACTTTCTGTGGAAATGTTTTTTGTGGCGTAAGTAGCTTTGTGTGATCTATCGTTAATAAAAAGTCAGTTAAATTTCAAATGTTTGTTCCAGATTTATTATGCAACTTGTGTTTGTACAAAGAAGGCTCCAGTAGGCTCTGCGTTTGTTACAAATATATGTATAAATGTGCTGAAATAGAACTCCATGAGTATTTGAATGCACGTATTGGGGCATTGAATGGAAACTGCAGATTCTATTCAATGTCACTTTGCTTGCTGGTCAGATTTTAAGCTAGGTTACACGTTATTCGCTGAGCGAAGACATTATCTAACGCTTGCGAATATTTACACCAGTTTTACTTTTTTTTTCTGATTTTTAATTAGCTAGCGTATGGCCTTTTAGGGCGCTTGTTAATGGTGGTATCGTGTTTAGTGCACCCGTCAGTCATGGAGGGGTTCCTGCACCACATGGCGCCGCAGTTCCTGCACCCAGCGCTACAGAGCTTCGGTTGTGGCGCTTTTCGTCCTATAGGGGGCGCGTTCCACCCTCTTTACCCTGGAAAGGCGTTTGCTAGGCATCTTGGTGAACAGTACGCACTTGGTCAGAGCGTTGGACAAGCTTTGAGGGTGAGTTGCAAAATAGAGTTTTATTCAATTGGAAGTGCCATGCTTTACTTTCTTAACTAATACAAATGTCAATCTATTCATTAAAATATAAGTAGAATGTTTTGACAAGTAAAATTCATATAACAATTAGTGGATCACATGACCATACAGCAGTGGTCACCCAGCAGCTATTGTGTCAACCGCAATCAAAAATTCGTTCCATTGTACAATTATTTCAAAATACGTACATATGTTGTGTAGAACGTTCGCGATGACAGCAGCACGCCGCCTTTGTACCGCCACGCGTACGCCGCGCGAGACGATACGAGCTCGCCGGGCTCCGCCGCGTCCGCTTCGCCTCGACCCTGCAAGGATGACGACGCACCATCGGCACCTACATGCACCGACTCTCACGACTTCTTTTCACGTAAGTTACTTAACTATATTATATGTTACTAAACTATCTGTAATGTCGCGGAGAACCTAACGGGTTAACGGGGCTCCGCCTCGACGTGCAGGAGAAGAACCGGGGTGGTTTTTAGTCAGTAAGAGTCTGACACTCCCTCCCGCCTCACCCAGGCGGGAGCAGTCATTCGATGATTTTCCTCCCTTAAAACAAACTATCTGTAATAAATAATATAGTTATTTATAGTATAACAATATTATGTCTTACTTAACTTAATTTAAATAACAGAACATATATATATACATATTAAAACATTGTAGTCACAATACTACCGACGAATTTTATACATCAAGAGAAACATAATCTAGGTTAGAGTCCACTCGATCATGAACTTGGTGTTACAATAAAATATCCTTGGATAGCAAGAAATTGTTAAGTAAACCAACCTATTACGACGTTTATTATTGTGCAAGGAAAGGCTAATCAACTCTGTAATCTGGAAGTACAACACTTAACGCATCCTTATAATCGATGGATTTGATGCACCTACATAATATATTCAGCTATTTTCCTAGCATGACAGTTAGCGTCTCTGGTTTTGTGTTTATAGGGCTTGTTGTAACGCGAGCATGTAGCACTGTAGCGTATTTAGGGGATACCAATTTTTTTGTGCACACGGATGTTACGTGTCCCACTTCTTGGCATTGGCCACTCTCTGCAAGTTTTTGCTGATGTCCATATAGTTGAATCGCGTTACAAGCCGTACAGTCTCTGATGGGGCAAGAAGTCCAATTGATGTAATTCTTTCATGAGATATAAGGGCTTTACGTATCTGGCCTGGAACTTCGATGGTGAAGTTGAAGGTCGGCGCATCATTCCATCAATCTTCCCGATTTATGATTTAACTTGACTGATGCTAAAACTCTCCATTGTTATATCCGGAAGCTTGTCAAACACGTTCTGTAAATGTACTTGAAAACATCTGACGTAGACGACGGTGCTCCTATAACTGTGATTCGTGGCTTGCTACAGACGAACTGAACAAGCGTTCGGTTTGTCTGTGACAAGCCCGGATAACGACAGGCCAACTGCTAGCTTCACTTTTTAGCATCCTGTTTCGATTCAGAGCTGATTATTACACATTCGTTTTGTGTCCCGATAGGTCACAGTTTTCTTTCAATTTATCCATTAAGTTAACGGCTAGACGGGCTTGCTGTTGCAGAGATTGATATAAGACAACTATTTGCGAGAAATCAGCTCCAGCTTACGGCTCAAGTTAAGATATTCTAAGCGTTTGATCCGAATTGAATTTGTCCTCCGTAGCAATGACGTACTTCATTCAACTGCTGCTCAATGCTTGCTATCTAGAGGTAGTTCTGAATGGCGGGCGTGGATACAGCTTCTATAGAGAAGTCAGATTTACGGCTGGTCTCTATCGGTGAGGTACAGAAAGCCAGATTACTCGAGATTTTATCCATTTTTTTCCACTATGATTATGTTTCCATTGTAAGCAAAAATAATTTAGTAGATTACTTTTGCGTTGATTCAATAGTAGGTGAAACTAACCACGTCTGTTACATGGAACTTTTTTTTAAGGGGGGAAAATCATCGAATGACTGCTCCCGCCTGGGTGAGGCGGGAGGGAGTGTCAGACTCTTACTGACTAAAAACCACCCCGTTCCTTCTACTGCACGTCGAGCCGGAGCCCCGGTTATCCGTTAGGTTCTCCGCGACACATCGAACGTCGTTACGATCAAAATTATATGTTAATTGTTCATAGGTACTGAAGGTGCCATGTAGGTTAATTTAGAAATCGCAGTTATATAATAAGCCTTTTATTACTTGTACTTACTACTATCAGCATTAGTAGTATGTCTAGCCTTTTTGAAACCCAAAGCAAAACGATAGAAAAGGGCTCCTTCGATTTCCAGGGCAGGAATTTGGTACCAACCATCAACTTTATAAAGAAGTAATATTTTATTAGTCTGTCATTTGAGGCCCCTTGAATTAGTGAACCCATGCAACTACATTAGCTGCATTGGAGTAGTTTTACGCCACTGAACAACATCGCACCCATGCGAAGCCGAGGCGGGCCGCTAGTTTAATATAAATAAACTATCTCTTGGAAGAATAAACAACGTGATCTTATGATCTTCGATTGGATATCAGTCGGAGAGTCGGAGCTTGATTCATCCTAAAAGCTATTTCGTAATAGCTAGGTATCTACTCGCCGTATCACCGGCGCATCCATATTATAAGTGTACTTGATAATGTAAGTGGCAGCCTAAGATTCTGTCTAATCAACCGTAGGACCATGGACACACGATTCAGTGACAATACATAATGGCTATACACGTGGACATTCTGATTATTGTAATGGAGTGCGTCTTTAAGCTTAATTAAGTGACTTTCCATTATCAATAATCGTGTGAAGCATGCTTATAATAAGCAAGCATACACGCCAGAAATGTGAAACCTAATTGAGTACCTATTACTAAGTAGTAGATAGCATATAATGATTTTAATTAATTATATAGTAATTATAGTATTGATTTTGTTATAATTATGGTCGCCGTATTCTATATGACTGTCAGTGGAATGGATATTGATAATCCAAACAGCTAGAAAATTAACCATTTCATTATAGGATAATTGTAAACATTAGATGATGTTGTATGTTACATTCATTTTATAAAAATCCTGTGTAGATGCTTATTTGGGTACCTAAATTGTTATATAGAGATTTTACAATGGCATAAATGTCTAACACCCAGAGGTAGGTACTGCTGTTTAACAAGACGACGAGGCAACAAGGCAACAATTTTAAAAATACTATATTCGATTTATAAATTAATTCCGTTATAAGTGATTTCGGTATACTTATTTCATTGTTTATATAGCGGACGGTGAGCGCAAATCTTCGTGTGGCGTCTGTGGAGCGCGGCTGGGTCCAGGTGTTGCTCAGGCGCACTTCTTGCAGGAGTTGCAGCACCTGTACAGCCTCAGCGCGCTGCCGCGGGATACTGCAGTGCCACCACAACACTCGCTGCATCACCAGGACGAAGACGCCCGTTGGGAGGTAACCTAGATGCTAGAATGCTGGCACGAATGGGCTGGCTCGACTGGCGACGTGAAACAACGTGTAATTTCTGCTTCTTTGTATAATTGAGGTTTCCGGAGGCCCAATCCTCCGCTCCTATACCCAATCCCCAAATCCCCCAATGTTCAAATCACTAACCCCAAAACAGCCAACAGCGTGCTTGTAACTCCCCTGGTGTTGTATGTCTATGGGCGGCGGTGATTACTTACCATTGGGTGATGGTAAGTAATCACCGTCAATCAGTGCTTTTACATTTTTTTCTAATGTAAAAGCATAATGTAAGTCTCAACCGAATACATACCACGATAAAATACGCAAACAAAATACCGATATGAATTAGATATTAATAGTCGAGTAGTATACGCCGTTGTTTTTCCAAAACGTGGTATTATTTAAACATTTACATAGTAAATTAAATATATGAGTTTGTTATTTTTTGTATAACCTATTCTAAAAGGTAACATTCTGTTAATAATACTTGTCTGTGGTCTCAGACTTATCAGCGGATTCGCGCCAACCGCCAGCGTCGGTTGAAGCTGCGCACTCGCAAGCGCCACCATACAGTTGAAAGCATGCTTGGGTATGACCTGGAGGAGGAACGGCGGGAAGAGCGGCCCCGAGAGTCTCGTCCCTACGACGCTGAAGATGAGCCAGTTGATGTTGAGGGAGACTCCCTGGGTTGGCCCGAGGCGGCCATCAACGTTGATGGTAATTTGACTTAGTTACATACATTCATAGAACTTCACGCCTGTTTCCCATATACCTGTCTGGGGTAGGCAGAGACTATGGACGCCGATTATTACGATTCGTACGTTACCTCTTTCGCGTCATCAAAAGTCATTAGCCTTTTCATGCATGAATTTTTATAACTAGTATGATAGGTACTTTACTGTGAATCTTTTTCGACATAACAATACATTTTTCATCAGCTTTATAAAATTGTAACAATACTTTTAGAAAAAGAGCAACGTGGCGATGGCGACAAATTGCACATGAGCTACGCTGAAGACTTAGAGATTTCCAGCACAAACGACGCTATGCAGTCACCAGAACGCGTGAGGTATTTTTTCTCTAAGAGCCGACTCCTATCCTTGACCTGAGTCCCACTAAATGTCCCGTTTCTAAACATAGTCGCGAAGTAACTTTCAATTTGCAGCTAAAACAGATAAAAGTAAAACGCATCATTTCGCATAGATTGCTAGAAATTCTGGAATAATAAAAGATGAAAAATGTCTCAAGGTTCATCGATTGTTCCTATATATGATATTAACCTTTGAAATTGTGTTTTAATTGATTGATTAGGTGCTAAATACTCCTGTACCTAATTACCGCTTTAAACGCGAATTTTCACACTTTCAATTAGAAAAATCGGTTCTTTAATAATGGCACAGTCCAAATATTTAACTCATGTCACAATTGGGAATATCCGAAAACTAAAATACCTATTCCGTAATAATGATTGTTTTGTATTGTAAAGGATTGAGACGCCAAAATCCTTGTCGCTGGAGTCCACGCCAAAAGCAACAGAGAGCGTGGAGAGGCCTGCGGAGGTGTCGACGACAGAGGCCTGGGGTGGGGCCGGGGCCTCAACGGCTGGTACCGATGCTTGGCCGGCCTTGGCTGCGGAGGCTTACATCCAGGCCACACGCCACAAGATTGATGGCGAGAACCTTCCCTCCTCCACTGACACCCGCAACTAAACTGACAATCTCCCACATTGCATCCCTTGTCATGCATGATTGGAGCATTTAATGTGTAGGTACTTTAGAAGCCACGAAGCGTTAGTATCAGAATAAAGTTCGTGCATACAATACTGAATACTGATACACTAGGAAAAACTCCAGCAAGAATATCAAATTTGTTCTCCCTAAATATTGGATTGTTGTAAAATTACTTATTTAAAGGTGACTAGAGTCTTAGAGTACGATATACTTATTTTACTTACGATGCTTCTATCGTACCTACATAACCGATTCATTAGTGGATTGAACAAAACATTAGTAATAGCTCAAAATACTCGTAATTACATACTCAATTTCATGAAAATGCAAAATACAATGCCTATCTAAGGATTCCTGTTGTTTTCAATCGCTATGTAATGTCTATTTATAAGCATAGTTATATTTTGTTCTAATTTTAAGTATAGTTTTGTAAAAATATTAATGTTCAGAACATAAGTAGATACTAACGTCTAGGCCAATACAATTATTAGAATCATCAATGAATATTATAATAAATGCATGACTATTATTAGCAACACACCTATAGTTCGCAAGTAGTAAATAAGCACTTTTTGCTGAACGGGCCAAGTTTTACTGCAATTTGTGCCTGCACTAGTGGGAACTGATTGCTCGGCCTTCACAAAAATAAATTGTTTTAACTGACGGCCGAGCAAACTATGGCTGGGCCATTGTTGGCAATATTATGTATTCAACAGATGACCTGTAGTGAAGACTCCTACACTGGCTAACCGGTAACAATGGTTGATGAAATCACATAGTGGTCGGCACATTGCACATATTACCATGCAACATTGTAGTTGCATAATGTCCCAGTCATTTGTTCAAACATTTTTGGTATGTATCAATGCATAGACACTTCCTTTAATGCAGCCACATATCGCTGAAATTAGAAGAACCTTACGGCAAATGTATGTATAGGCGCTGCGTAAACGTAGACACTCTTCGTGTCCAGTTATCGACACCGAACTCCTTTTGAACGATTTTATTTTGTGTAACTATGTGTTAAGAGGAAGCAACTGAACAATGCGCAGGTTGAGGATGATTTTATACTGGTTCTATGTAAACCAAATTAATATCATCGGAAGCATGTACCTTATCTGACATCAGGCTCAAGTGTCCACGTTTGCGCCCTATCGTAGAAACACCTTAGGACAAATATTTCGATATATTAAGATATTTTTATTGTTATATAATTGTGTAAATATCTCAAATATCTTTGTAGATTGTAGCGAGCAATTTTAACGTTATGTTCGAACAGTCTTATTAAAATATTGTAACTACAGTAGGTATTGTTTGTCGTCCCGCTTAGTTATTTATTACATAGATAAGTAATATAATGTAATTCAACTCTTCGTTGTTGTTAACTATGTGTACATAACAAAATGTGTCGAAATGTTTTAATGTTATTAAACATTATGTATTAAGATATAGACATTAAAAGTTCTTAGGTATGAATCATTATTACCCTTCCGTACTACATATATGTACATACACTGCGTACATTACTCGTATGTGTGCAATAATTGTATGCTCACATTGCTTAGTAGATCTCATATCCGCCATTTATATTCCCTCATTCATTTTATAAAATGAAATTAATAAAACAGTAATTGAAAATTCAAAGTAATATGTATTCAAACTTCTTTAAAACATGACATCATTCACAAACTTTTACTCTCTGCCAACAAAGTTAAGATAACATTTATAATTTATATTCGACGTAACAATCAATATGCTTTCAAACACCAGTCAAAATTAATCGGGACAACAATATGGGACCGGTTGCGTCACTAAACATTCGTACACAGCTAATAATACAATACCCTAGAGTAGTCCTGAGCTGGGTCAAGCTAAGCCTAGGCAAGTATCACAACAGGCTGACAGTCACAGGTGCTCCCCGAGTGAGGCGTGCTCCCGGACAGGCAGTGCAGTCCACACGGAGCGTACCCGAAATTTTCAAACAAATGCACTTTAAAAACGTCCGCCGAAACCTTTGTACGTGAAACTAACTCGAGCAATCAAACAGTTGCACATTTGTAGTGAAACTATCGCTACTATTGCAATTATTCTTATTGAGCTGAAACTTATTTTATTGCACAAATGATTTCATCCGGCTAAAATACTTGATTACACCTACCCATTTCGTAACAGTTTTAAGCAGTATTAATAGGTGGCCATCATAATGGTAATCTATATATGTACAACAATATATGACAAGGTATTACAAATGGGCTACAACTTAATAGAAAAGTAAAAAAAGGAAAATAAGAAAATTCCTAAGCATAAAGCATAATAGTATACTATATACGTGGTACAGAAGCTGAAGTCATTTAAGGAAACTTTACAATCAAGATTCATAAAAAAGTAAATAATAAAGTATTTGATAATGTTCAATGGGTGTAAAAGTAGACTCAAAAGGATGTTACAGCTCCGATGAAGACGATGCAGGTATTAAAATGTGACAATTTTTCGAACTTAGCATGTAGACGCGTGAATACAATAAACAAATATATTCCAATCCGATATTACGCAGACGGGAAGCGGTATATTCCTTAATTTATAACAATTTATTTCCAATATTTTACAATTTTTACATAAATAAATATTGATAAATAAAATTGATATTTTTTTCATTGACAGGTTCGAGTCACTTTTATTGCGTTAGGTTTATTATGAGGACGTTTTTTGAGCGCAAACTATGTATTCGGGTTTTTTTGTTGTATCAAGTGAAACATAGAAAACGAAGCGAACCTAGCGACGGTTAGGGCGTTGTCTACTGTTGAGTGTCCCCCAACTTAAAGGAAGAGTGCCGGTAACCCTCTTCAGCCGTTGAAGCCGATGCGCGTAAGATTGGGTCTGCTTCACCGCCTGTTCGATATTCTTGAACCACCTGTAAAAACGCACATCCAAGATTTCATTCAAGAAGAGGTACGCTCATGGTGATATTGTCACTAGGTACCACGTAAGTTACTCACTCTGCGTATATGTTCTTCGCGGGCAGCCAACTCTCTCGTGAGCTCGTCCCTGCGACGCTCTAGTTCAGGCTCGAAATTGCCTTCCTTGATGCACTTATCAACTTGTTCGTACTCCCGATATAAACTGGCGTACTCTGCAAGACTCTGTTTTGCTTCCTGACTACCACCACGACCTTTCGACGTCGCTCCATCAAAATCTTCTCGGTTCGTCGCGAGGCTGCTTGAAACATTAATACGCACTTGAAAACTTTTGCAAAGATAATTATAAAACTTTGTAAATAAAAACCCTGAATAATTTTGAGATTTTCGGAGTACCTAAATTCAATGTCAAGTTCAAACTGATCGAGTAAAGATCTTGTCAAACAAATGTTATGTATAGAAAGTACTTAAGTTAGGTTTGGTTGCAGATAACTCACTTGTACATGGAGGTGTAGAAATAGTGAGGACGTGATATGGCCCGTAGAAACCTGGGCACCATGCCATCTCCCTCGCGGTAGAGGCTCAACAGTCGGTTGTAGGACATGTACTTGTAGGACGGTAGTCGTAGCAGCCGCCGACCAACTCGGATCGCATTTATCTCACGGTGGTCTAGAGATGGCTCCTTTAAATGAATATTATAACAATCAACCGCTTGTGAGGTAATTGAATTCTTAAAAATATATGAAATTATTGAAAATAATACTTACTACAACTGTACTTTTCGCTCCATACGCTGGTACGTGGCTTAAACCTGAAATGCAGGTAAACTGTATTAATCAAACAGGTCTCCGATTATATTAGAAGACCACAGCTGGTTAATGTTTCAACAAAAACTTTTCCGACGCGATAATTTCACTAGCCCGATGTTATATATTATTAAGAGACATATTAACGTTTTACTGATGACTACTCTTAGACAAAGAATTTCGACTCGAAGAGATTTAAGAGTCATTCGAGTTAAGCACATAATTGTTTTTGTGGAATAATTATGGTTTGTTTCAATACTGGCTGAGTGGCTGGCATTAACAGGTACTGTACATCTATTTATTATTTTATTTTTAAATTCAATTGTTCCCTTTTAATAATTTCTCTCATTATATAATATATAACATAGAATGAGAGGAAATAGTTATATGAATAAAAATGAATATCCGTTCGTTGGTTTCGCTAAAAATCGAGAACGGCTGAACCGATTTGACTAATTTTGGCCTTGAAATGTTCGTTGATGTCCAGGGAAGGTTTAATAGGTGAGAAAACAGTGGGGTAAAAAAATTATTTTTAGGCGGTACGAAGTTTAAAGGGTCAGCTAGTATTGGCTATGTGCACGACGGTGGCGACGCGTAGCGTTTACAGCATTTACGGAAGCTGTCAAATAATAACAATATAAATATTAATTTTCTTTGCAAATATAAATAAAACCAAAAATTTAAATAGTAATGTTGACATTATTTAAGTGCAATACATTTAATAGTTTTACTGTAAAATGAATATAATAATAAAAACCGGGTTTGAAACTATTACACATAACATTCGTTTCCAACCACAAACTGAGACAAAAGGTAAAACTAAGGTATAACTAAGGTAAGACAAATTAGCGGAGCATGTAAGAAATGTGGAAGAACTGCGACATAACGGCCAGAGCTACTTAATACGAGCCATGGGCCATTTCTTTGCTTTGATTTTGTACTGCAATCAACAAATTTAATAGCTGATTATTCCCATTTGTTTCCAATTTCTGCCGTGTTGTGCGCTGCGATCGTTATCTGTCCGCCACTACTCGCTTTGCACATAGCCAATAGAATATATAGGTATCGATGATATTTTTATGAAAATCTAAAAATTCTTACCCATGTGATGCGCTATCGTCAGAGGTATGCCTGACAATGGTTGTTGTATTTTAAGACCATTTAACACCTGCAATTAAATAAACAATTAAGTATATTTATTCAAAGTCAAAGTCAAAGTCAAAGATCTTTATTGTGAGACAGTGGTTACAAAGGTTGTTCTAAAGGTTGTTGTGTTCTGGCACTGCTCCACCATGTTAGGCATATAATTTGCAGTAGCTATACATTATAATATTAAATACTGATTGAATAAATTTCATTTCATTTTGCATCAAAACATAAAATGGCGTTTCAACTGTTAACGAATCTATCAGACAAAAATTCATGCAATGTATAATATGGTCTATTTACCAGGAAGTCAAACATTTTTTTCTTAAAATAGTCTACCCTGTCAATTTCCCTCATTTGTTTAAGAAGCTTATTATAAATTCTTGAAGACATTCCGAAGAAACTTTTAGAAAGCAGAGCTGTTTCTTTCTTATATATTCTTTCAATAGATAAGCCCCAAAGTAGATAAGTGCAGCTGTTGTACCTACTCCGTTAAGAACACTGAACCAACTCGGGAATTCAGTTTGCTATTAGTATAGCATGCACCTTCTTTAATAAGAAAAATAAAATACAGGGAATATATCTCAAATTCAAGAGGAAAGTCAAGAAGTAACGCGTATCACCTGTTGTATGTTGACGCCGATGTTGTGTGAGGGCGCTGTACTCTTGCTCACTACAAACGGTATGTTAGTGTGGTTTGACGTTCCGTAGTAGTACCGCATGCCAGCCTGCTTCATCTGAGACGCTACTGTTGGCAGCTCATAACGACGACTCCTATATTTGATGCGGCGAGGATGATGCGATCCTTCATGATTTACCTGTAATTTACATAATTATTTTATTACATATTTATATTAACAGCCCTGTTACCCTTGAGAGTCCATAGGTCTAAGGGCCTCCTCTAATAAGGGGGGAGCCACGCCTGCCGGGGAAGGAATTCCGAATTTAAAGGACCAGTCATTTATTAGATAGCGCTGTGTAACCAGTTCTCTGTCAAATGCTTGGTATTTTAGTTGACTCTTAAGACACGACGACGTAAATAAATATGTTGTGTCTTATCAACATTTTTTATATTAGGTATACTACCTACCGGTAAGATAGGTGGGTAATAGACATGAGGATGATAGTACGTCACACTCATTGAAATTGTCAACTTTAAATAAAATCAATAAAAACGCTATCTTTAGGTAGCTTGATCTGCTAGCATTATATTGTGGTGCCACCTTGGCTGCAGCCCAACAGTACTCGAGCGTTCATGTACATAGATGTTGTTGTTGTACTCTATTAGCAAATATTGTATCGAGACGCAAGCTATTCTGTGTTGAGCTCGTAAGCAGTTCAAAATCACGTGTTGACATTTATTACGATTCGTTTTAACTCGATATTACTTCATAAATATGTGATGATTCTTCCTGACCTATCTTACTATGTCAGCATAGCATTCATAATAAATCTACGTTTATAGAGGTAGGTTAACATATGTAATCTAAACAAAATTAGGCATAGGAACAGATAATTGGGCATTGAGATCTAAACTCTAGACTAGAATAACTTTATAACCCGACTACAACGGTAGCTAACACAAAAGGAACGACCGTGAGAACTTACTTTTATTATAAATAAATAGTTAACTAAATATTAAGTAAGGTTTTTAATATATCTGTTATATGGTAGATGCTCCACCCATTCTCAACAAGCGTTTCGTTTCGAGTTTAATTGTGCGAACTGCTAAGGAGTGGAATTTATTGCCAGCGTCTGTTTTCGGAAAAGTACCGGGTGTCTAGGTATCAAGTTGGTTATATGTAGGTAAGCGAGCAGCATCGTCGGCCACATCATCGCTTACCACAGGCGAGTTAGTGTAAAACAATGTTCAACAAACCTTTTTTGGTTCCTGTGAAATGTCTTCAATCTGAGCAGTATCATCATCGTACTTTGAACTGCGAACTGAACAAAATAAAATTATATCATTTAGCGCTGCAATTCCGACGAAGTTGTTAACAAGCTAAGTAATTCCTAAATATTGAGGAAAGACCAGACGTAATAGTGAATAGGTAATCACATCTATACTAATATTATAAAGCTTTTTTTGTTTGTTTGTTTGAACGCGCTAATCTCCGAAACTACTGGTCAGATTAGAAAAAATCTTTCTGTGTTGGATAGCCCATTTATCGAGGAAGGCTATAGGTTAATAAAATAGCACGCTACGATTAATAGGTGCCGAGCAGAGCGAGTGAAACCGCGTGGAAATAGCTAGTTAATATTATAAATGTGAAAGTATCTTTGTTTGGATGTTTGTTCGTCAATCACGCTGAAACTACTAAACAGATTTTGATGAAATTTTGTATACAGGCAGGGTATGAACTGACTTAGGTGATAGGATTTTGTATCCCGGGATAAAACAGGAATCATATTCTACGCGGACGAAGCCGCGGGCAACAGCTAGTGCATTAATATACATAATGCCAAATTCAAAGCTATAAACCGGTTCTCTAAAATTGATGGCACAATTTTTTTTTATTAATATTTATGTGTACATCACATCTTTTAGCCTAAGCCCCACAAAACCGTTGCAATGGTTTGACTGTGGGGTCAACGAGTCTCTAGACATGGCCAGTAATGCACTCGTGCTTGCATACCTCTGGTATTGTAGTACTATAGTTCCTATTTATACATACATAACATTACGCCTTTTATCCCCGAAGGGGTAAGCAGAGGTGCACATTATGCCACTGTACAATGTAACACCTATTTTTCACTATTTATGTTATGAGTCCCATGTAATAGGGGTCACCCCCTATATAGGCTCACGCCTATAGCCATTTACCGGGCACAATTTCAGACTCCGTGCTACTACTGAGATTTTTTTAAAAACCCAGTAATACTTTGCCCGACCCGGGAATCGAACCCGGCAGACCCCTTGCCCGGTAGTCGCACTTGCGACCACTCGGCCAACGAGGCAGTCGTAGTAGTTCCTATTTATGTAGTATAAAAAATACGAATAGGTAAGTATCACAGTAAAATCGTTTTACGATCTATGGGAATAATCTATGACCCTTCGTATTTTGTATAGAGATAGGTATGTAAATGTAAGGGGTCAGACTTCAATAAATATAATCCTTACCTTTTTTGGTTTTCTTGTCATGGGGCGCAAGAGACACTAGGGGTGCCGGTGCCGGCGCCGCGGCAGCTAGCCTCCGTGTGTCCATGGGACCATTCCGGCTCTTGTTGAACAGTTCCACCACTGGCCGGTCCTCCCCTTTGTCAATTACTGTCACTTCATCTACACCTATAGTAACAACGAGTAAGACGCGTGTAGAATATCGTAGATATTACGTAGGTGTTAGATGTATCTAATGTACCGGTTACCTGCAGTTCTAGTATAGGGGAATTCTTACCAGTAGATTGTTGATTTTTAGTGGTTCGTCGCCGAGGGCGAGATATCGGCAGCTCACCCTGTGCGCCGGTCTGCCAGGCCTCCAAGACTTGATTGGTTCCAACTATAAAAACATCGTTTAAGACATACCCTCGTCTGCAAGTGACAGCAGACGTTATTGCAATTTAGTAATTTTTTACTTATTGATTGCCTAATTTATAAAAGAGAACGGCAGGCTTCTATAGGAGTTCCTTATCGCTAATATTAATAAGTAATTTTTGTTTTAATATATTATACCAAGCCTGTTACAAAAATATTACATTTTTAAAGATAGGAGGTATGGTTTAATCATTTGGTAGTTTTACCTGAAATTTTTTCAGGCATGGCGGGCAGTCAACTCCTATATTTCCACCCAAATGATCAGGCTAATAAGTTAGAAGTTTTAGTTTTTAAGGGTAGGTTTGTTCTTTGTCGAAATAGTCATACTTGAAGTCGAGAAGGTTACAAGTGCAAAGAAACGGATACCAAGTATCCTCAATCCACCAACTGCTGCTACGGGACCAGTAAGGAGAGTTTGCCACTGACCTTCTCTTACGCAAAATGTTAATTGCCAATAACTTACATCTATAACTGTAGCAAATAGGTAAACCTTGCCTTCTTTAGGTATTGTTTCCTTGGGAACGTGCCGTCGCCGACTCGCAGTTTGCTTAATTTGACGCAAATCCGTAGGTTTCTTAGTAGTAGCAACTGGGCTGTATAAACAATTTGAAATAAGCATGTTAATTTCTTAATTTTGACAGCACAGTTGGCACTATTGGCGCGGGCAACCGTTTGCCATGCAAGGGCTACCACCTTGGGTTCGCTTCTCGCACGGAACTGTTCTTTGTGAGATCCACAAATTATAGTTCTGGGTCTGGCTGTCATGGATATGTTACAGCCAAAGTGATTAATTTGATATTATTCATAATTACTGGTCACAATAATATGTGAAATTGTATGTTTGTGAACGAACCCACGTCACAGAATTACTAGAGTGGGGCACCGTTTTTAGATAAAACCACCTATCTATTTGAATATACTTTCTTTTAATATACACAAACCCGTTGTATATTGATAACTTTATAACAATAGTTAAATCAGAAAATTAGTCATGTCGTCACCAGCCAAGCCAAAATCCTGAAGGAAGCTTTATTCCAGCAGCGGACCGTATTACTAGACTACTACTGATGAAGATGATGAATTATATTTATCTTTAATTAATGTAGATACTCACTAGTTAGACGGTCGGTTATAGACGTCGAAGTTAGAATATTCCTCACCCGCGTCATCTTGTCCACAAGCTACCTCCAACCCTTCGTTGGGCGGCTGGCTCTGACCACCCATACCTTTTGTTTAAAACATTGTTAGCAATAAAACCAGGTAAAAGTTACAAGTTTACTAAACACATCTTATTCTCCAAATTGAAGAGACGTAATCTGAAAGTAGACAGTTATGACATGTATTAAAAAAATATTTTAAAACACAATTTGTGTTTCCAAACGTGAGGCAATTTATCAATTAAATTCTTTTCGTCATCATGTCTCAGGAATCATGTACACCCGAGGTAAATAGTGCTTCTTTCAGTAAATGTAAAGTACTCACTGTCACCGTCAGCCTGCGACCTTTGCTGCCGCAGTTTTGGAAACAGACGGTGGTCCATGGTTGGGGGAGGGATCTGCTATAGGTCAATAAATCTGGGCGTTAATATCCTATATAATAAATTCAATTTGCTTAAACATAATATTAAGTAGGTAGTAGTTTTCGTTGATTGAATCACGATCATAATTATTGTGTATTTAGTAAGTTAAATGGTGTTATGAATCCTGTGTGTTTGGATTAATAAATTCAAGGGTAAAAAGGCGTGTTTTGTATGGATTACAAATTACCGACATCATAGTAATCTGTACAGAGTTAGGTGTACCTTAAGTCGACCTAAACGTTCTTTATGCCATTTATAGTAGTTATCATTTCTTACAGACTACACTCAACACTATGGCGACCCATTCTCTAGGTAAACGCATACCGATGTTTAGTTATTAATCTTTCAAATGTAAATATTTTGTTAGTTTTGTATTTATTCTCGAAGTACACCTATCATATTAAGTCAACGTAAATCCAGGAACTAAGTCAATCTAACTTGTAACTCTATTAAATTATGAAACACCTAGTCACATCTGTTTTTTTAAACAGCGCTTACAGACCCCAAAGCGTTCTTGCTGTGGCTTGAATGTTTGGTTGTAGCCACGCACTTGGCCGATCATCCGGTGTTGTTCCACGGTAGCAGGGTCCAGGTAGCCTCGTGTAGGGTTCGGCGGCACCTCTAACCGACGTAGTCTTGCAGCTTGCTGCGACACCTCTGTAATCAGCAAAGCTGGCACAATTTTTCCCTACATGCTAAACGTTACTTATCACAAGACTTGACTTTTGTGCTTTGTGTCCCTTATAAATAAATAAATAGATAACAATCTTGAGAAGTAGAATAAACTTTGGTACAGGTAGAGGCGACATGGAGGGTATCAGTGAGAAGAAATCCTGGCCTCCATTTATGTAACTCTCGGTATGTGGTCGAATTTAGGTATGCAACGTAGGTCCGTATAGGATTAGTAGTTATTCCGAAATGAGGTACCATTTGACCTTCGATAATGTTTCAGCTATAATACAGCTTACAAAAACAAATCACTTAAAAGTACTTACTTTTCTTCGGTTGCGTACGCACAGTTATAAATGGAACGTTTTCTGGTGTCATTGGCTGGTCTGTTACTTTAGTCATGCTGGAAAATAAGTCGGTACCTATAGTCAAGATGGTTAATAGCCACCAAAGTCAAGGAAAAAATCAGCCAATGGCTTTGCCCGCCATGGTGAGGCGAATGACAGTGTCAGACTTCTACTGATTAAAAACCATCCCATTCCTACTTCTGATGAGCCGGAACCCCGAACATGTGCACTCTCCCTAGGTATAGAATGTAGATTGTATATCTGTTAGACCAATTTCATAAATGTTACACAAACCTTCGTTTTTTCAGTTTCCTTTTCTTTTTTAAAGATTTTATTAAATCAATTTTCTCCTGAAGGTCGTCGCACCGTACTTCAGCTGTCGCAAACTGGTCATCTATTTCCGGTATAGAAACTAGCAAAACAGAATTTATTTTATGGGTAGGTAAGTTAAGTACCTACTAAAAAAAACATTTTAGGTTCCAAAATTAGCGCCAATGCCAACGTCTTGTAGTCTCACTTGGGAAAGCCATGCATCTCACGAATACACCGTTCAACAGGTTCGGTACTAAAGAAAATGGGGTGAACATTGCGTGCGATTAAATTCGCAAGAGACTCAATCCGGCAATGTAATTGTTCCTCCTCCGATGTTACGGGTGTGGGTCCTTGAGGAACACCGATTGTTTACTATCAGATTATCTGTCTATCTATAGCCAGAGTAGAGACTTTGTACGCTAATTAACTATGAATTTATTGATTTAGTATTGTCTTGAAACCAACCGTTTATTAATTCGGTTCTTTATACACGAGTAGGTACCTACTTACTGAAATCCTCAGTATTTTCCCAAGACATTCAGTGAAAAACAGATGGGATTTTCACATTAATTTTATTATTGTTTTCTACCACTTCTTAAAATATGTAGCACATATACATTTTGGGATCAGCGAAACAAAAGTCACAAGCGATTTTTTCATTTCCCGATAAATAATTTCTTTTACAACTATTTTAATATCTGGTACCGTACTACTACCACCACCACTACCACTACGCCGTGTGAAAGGCAAGTATTTTTTAAAAATTAGTCATTAGTATAATAGTTATATTTAAAAGGGTTCTAACACTTATTTTGTTTACTTGTTTCTATCATTTTTGATGATTTTTGTTGTGTTCAGTTTAAAACTCTGAAAGTCTTTAGTTATATTTTCATTGAAGGCTAAGGTAGTATAGGTACGTAAGGTGGGTAGGTATATCCACTTAGTATAAAGAACTCTAAATAGAAACGTACCCTTCATGTCCAGTTTGCGTTCGGAACGTGTTCCCTCTAACACGGCTCCAGACAGACTGCTGGAGCTCCTATGACGCTTATCTGCAATCAGTGTCTCAATTTACCAAACAACAGAATCACCATAGTAAGTCTTAGGTGTAAAAACTTGTAGGAAAAAACCCAGGCATTGTTCATACTAACCCACACTATACCTACCTACATGCTTTCGTTTGCATTGTTATCAATACGTATAATTAGGTGTTACGCCATTAAATATGTCACCTATTCTGTAATGTTCCGCTATTTGTTGTGCATTCCAATGTCATATATATCGAAGGCATATAAATCCAAGACTTATTGGGATAAGAAACAGCGTCTTTCAAAAAATATTCAATAAAACCACCAAGTCTAATATTCCCTAATTCAAATTCTTGTCACCTCATTAGGAGTAAATAATACGGACCAACCTTTAGATAACTTTAAACCGTCGCCCATATTAACTTGAAATTTTCATAGCACACTACTTGGAAGCTTTGTGCTATTTTAAAATAAACAGAACGACTGATTAATAAATATAAAAAGGGAGTTATATTAGTAAAAGCACTAAAAAATCATTACGTCAAAGTTGTCAAAATAATATCAATCCTAGAACAATGAAACATCAGCTTTACTTCAAATCCATGTGCAGATGAGTAATTATTGATTAAAACACTGGCAGGATATAATTATTGTTGCATAATAAAACAATAATTAGTTTTAATTAACTAGCGGTTCACCCCAACTTTACCTCGTAGTACCCCATTTCTTACATGATCCTGATCTGGAAACGTAACATGCCTTGGTGCCGAATTATTTTTCTGTAGTCTCTTTTTTTATGGAATAAGCCGGTAAACGAGCAGACGGATCACCTGATGGTAAGCAATCGGCGTCGCCCATGGACACCTGGAACACCACAGGCGTTATAAGTGCGTTACCGGCTTTTTGGGGATTAGGAGTTTGAGGATCGATGGGGATTCAGGGATTGGTGAGATAAGGGAAGGGGAGGGTAATTGGGCCTCCGGTAACCTCACTCACACGACGAAACACAACGCAAGCGTTGCTTCACGTCGGTTTTCTGTGAGGCCGTGGTATCACTCCGGGTTGAGGTTTGTTGGGGATTCGGGGATTGAGGAGATTGATAAGGGAAGGGGAGGGTAATTGGGCCTCCGGTAACCTCACTCACACGACGAAACACAACGCAAGCGTTGCTTCACGTCGGTTTTCTGTGATGCCGTGCTATCACTCCGGTCGAGCCGGCCCATTCGTGCCGAAGCATGGCTCTCCCACACTTAAAATGTCATAGTAGAATAAACAAGAGAACTTTCTTTTACGGTTTTTGACAACATTACTAGTGTATAAAACCGGAGCTCGCTCTCTTCTGAAGGTTTGAGGGTTTTACCAAAGAAAAAACAAAGTTTTTGCTGAAAGGTAAGTGGTGTGTGAAAGAGACAAAAATAGACATGTTACCTCCATTAAAAAATATTAAGTCATTTTCTAGCTTTGTTCTGTCATGAAAGACGGACAAACAAAACATTTAGGGATGTTTTATACTAGATATTATGTATAGATTTCTGTGTCACATGTCATTTATTGACAAGTTAGTTTACAGAGCCAATGGATCGTTGACAATTTGTTTTTTGTTATCTTTATATTTACATTAAGGTTGGTACGCAAAAAGGTTGACAGCAGTCTAAAGAAAAAATCCATGAATAAGATATTTTCAGTTAACCTACCTACAATAAATTAGTATTTTTTCATATGTGAAAATAATAATTACTGAGGGCTGAATACTAATATTAGTTCTTGAAAACATAATATAGTATTTAATATGAGTACGTCGGTGCCAAACTATGGAAGTTTAGGGAGGCGTTTAGGTCTCTTCCCTCCCGCCGTAGACGCCAGCTGTCAGCGCTTCTAAGTGGTATCCAAAGAGTATTAATAAGTATAGGGGAAGTGGTAGCCGATCTACGACCTCCATAAGAAAGGCTTGCGGGCGACTCACTGGAAGTCAGCCGTCCGCTGTATGGGCGGAGTTAGCGTAGTGTTCCACGCATGTCTCTCGAGGAAGAAAATCGCAGCCTCCACGGACTGCAATGCGGTAGGACCTGTCACAATATAGCAGTAGCTCGAAGCGTGCTGGGTGCGGTGAATCTGCAAAGACGTCCTGGGTCACGGCCACAGGCAGAGGAGGAACACCGCGGCGGTTTTAGCCGGTAAGAGTCCGGCACACGCCCCGTCGTCCCCACGAGGTCCATGAGGATTTCATGAGGAAATAAAAGTTTATGACATAGTGATATGTGACACTTTAGTCTGCAGATTTTGCGAGCTATGTCGGTAACTCTTGTTCTTTGGCGAATTTCCATATTTCGGATTTTGTCGCGCAAAGAAACCCCGAGCATAGCTCTCTCCATCGCACGCTGAGCGACTTTGAGCTTCTCCAGAAGGCCAGAGGTCAGGGACCACGTCTCGGTACCATACGTCATCACCGGCAACACACACTGGTTGAACATCCTGGTCTTTAGGCACTGAGGGATTTTCGATGAGAAGATTTCGCGTAACTTCCCGAACTTGGGCAGGCCACGTCGCTCGAAGGACTGACGGCAGATGGGCCAGGAAAGTCCTTGAGTGGAGACCACGGACCGGAAGACGAAGCGTGGGCAGGCCACCCGCTAGGTGGACCGACGACATCGCCAGAGTTGCGGGGAACCAGTGGATGCGGGTGGCGAGTTGTCGTTCGACGTGGAGGGCTAAGGGGGAGGCCTTTGTCCAGCAGTGGACGTCTTCCGGCTGTTGATGATGATGATGATGATGATGATATGTGACAAGCTACCAAAAGAACTCCTGATATTATTGACAAGTAACATTGCGGATAGATTCCATATGTAACTATTACATAGGTTCAGTGGTTAAACCTACTATTTTGAATCCTGGGACTCTCATATCTTAAACCACTCAAATAAATAAAATTCTTGAACCTAATTAAGTTTTAAGCCAGAGAAACGACGTATGATTGTTTTATCCCGGAAATCCCACAAGAATGGGAAAGCAGACCTGAAAATCCCGGGACTTTCTATCTTTCATACCCCTGAACCTACATATTTGATTGAAATTCAGTTCAACGATAGTTTGAGACACTGGCACCAGAAAAGACGTTTGATTGTTCTATCCCGGAAATCCCACGGAAAAGGAACTATGTGCGTTAAAATTCTGGGACTCTTATAAATAATTGATAAGTCAGTGGACATTATGATAAGGCAATGGTCAATGTAAAACGGCCACCAAGTAATAATATAAAAGTAATAAAGTAAAGTCTGTGGCATAGGTGCAACTGGTGTCCCTATAGGGGTTCGTGAAAATTTATTCAAATACCTAATGTTGTGACAAGAGAAATGCTCCAGTGTTCGTTTGGACTGCATTGATAAATAGCCAATCTAGCCACATCCACCTTGGATTAGTAGCCATGGTTACAATTCTATGGTTACAATCTAGAGTAAGCAAAATAAAAACGACGAAATGAAACTATTTGTGAGCTTTTTTGAACTTTTTGAACCAGAATAAAGGGTCGACATAACTACGTCTGGTTTGGTTCATAATCATCACTCGTCCTGTCGAGGTTGTCCACCTGTATGCTTCAGCACAGAAATCACGACAAACTCTGGAAGTTGGTGGTTGGTAAGGTTAACAGTAAAGACTTCGCGGTCGTTCATCCTATCCGTCGGTTAAATGTTGTTTAAAAAACTTAACGGCTTGACTCTTCCATAAACTATAAGAACCACACAAGACAGTGGCATTAGGAGTAGGGTACTACTCTAAGTGCAGTGATACGTGCACCAGCATAGATGATACACTATAAAATAGCTAGCACCAGATTAGACACAACCTTCAGTGATGAAAACGATTAAGAAGGGTTAATAATAATTTGTTAAATCAAATTACATGACTACAGCATTACAAAACTACGAGTGCACTTGTCTTTGAACGGAAAACAAAGTTAAAAGTTCCATAATTTTAAGTAAGTACCAATTTTTAAAGTATCTATCTAACAAATTCCACCAAGAACAGGAAAATATTGAGACTTCAAAAAGGCAAAGTAGTAAATAAAATAAAAAGTATAATTTAATCTCATTATATATTTATTCCATATACACCTATATCTACTTCTTGACACAAAGAACATAATATACTGCACTGATAATGCATAAACATACAAAAATTGTCGTTCTTGCATATTACAAAGAACGTTAAATAAATATTAGAATCAGAATACTTGTTACCTTTTTCAATGCGTAAAAAAGTATACAGTAGCTTATATATACATAAAAATGTAGTTATAATGTTGAGTACATGTATATAACTGTAGTTGATATAAATAGCCCCGCGAGTCAGTTACGATGTTTATAATTATTATAAAATCTTAGATTGCACCCATTATATAATTTTTCAATCATAGCAAATTAAAATTATAATTATTATCAAGCGCGAGAATCACCCAAACATTGCTTGAGAGAACTTGCAATTTACGTGTATTACGTTCGGTGCCAAAGCATCTCGTATAAATCAGTATGAGCTATTGCGACGCATGTAGTTGCCGGCAACCGCGATACATTGTGCTCATTGTTACCGATGTAACTTTAACTAACAGAATAGAAAAGTTATACGCACCCCTTGACGTAAGTCGTGAGATAATATATTAGGCGCAAAGTCATTATATATTACTACATGTCATCATTTTCATTCCAGCTTATTTTTGTTTATCTCCAATTTAATTCGCGTTGAATAAATGCAATAAATATTTCATGGAATGATGAATTTATGTAATTATCAGTCCAAACTCATATTGCATGACTCAATTTAAAATAATTATATTATTTATACTCTGTATAGCATCACACACATTTCAATTTATTAATCGTTTAAAATCACAAACAGTTAAAAGTTTTCTGTTGTATTTTTTAATAATTAAATGTTAATAAATTACATAATAGCTTGGTGGTTATTGCAGTTCTAAGTGTTTTATATCGAACGTAATGGTAAGACTATAAATACTTTCTAAAGAACACATCAAAATATTATAAAACACAAATTTTGAAAGCCATAATGTGACGGCACTTACATTCATTAAAATAGAATAGACATTAGTATGTTACCCAGTAATACTTATAAAAATACATAGACGCACTGTGCTTAGCAAAATATTGTGCATGAAGTTGCTTCATTGATTCTGGCTTTACACAGCCAGCATAGAAAATTTCGTTATTATTTGATCAATATCATTATGTTAAGCTACAAATACAGTTATTGTTAAGAGTAAAATTTCTTTATATCAGTCAAATATAGGGTGGTCAACATAAATAGAAAAATACTGTAGTCCAGATCGAGGACCCATTGAAGTTTTCAAAATTATTAAACTACTTTATTAGCGACGGATGACATTATTCCCATCAACCAGGGAAAATAATTAACTATAGCCTTATATTATGGTGTCATGCGCCGTAAATACAAAATACTTACGACAAAGACACATCGTGTTTTGTGTTATTTATTGTTAGGAATAGTGGGCGTAAATAGTTCTTACGCTTTATTTTTCAGATCACTATGATCTGAAACTATTCAATATTTATAGACCAAGCTCTTGTAGAATAATATTATTATAATATAT